ATATATATATCAATATTCAAGTCACCTATTTTAGTGCTTTTAATTTAAAAAAAAATGGACACAAACCTTCTAGTGATTTCTCCCCAAGCTTTCATCTTAGCCTCATTGGTTACTGTTGTAGAAAATTTACTAAATAAAACACTTTTCCTCTTTTCTACTTCATCAACTAAAACTTCAACTTCTTCGCTCGTAAACTTCACTCGTTTTTTACACTGCTCCATCTTCACTTCTGGCGCCGGGAAAAACTGCGCCAAGGCTTTTATACTGTCCCCTCGGCATCTGATTGGGTTAGATTTACCTTCATTTTTTGACACTCAGAGACGGTGTGTTTTTTGAAAGAATAAACGAACAAACAAAATGACAACAACAAAAGTTCATTTATTTTAATAGTTGAAGTATATTGTGAAATATCTGTATGATTTCTTTTTAATGTCACCGTCTCAATAACGAGAAAACTGGGGGGGATTCCGCCCATGTCGAAGCACTTTTCCAGGGTGATTCCCGCGGAGAAACTCGCGCCGGGAATTCCTAGTTTGACCTACTTAAAAAGGGAGAAAAAGCCGGCGCAAAACGCGGAAAGACGTAGTAGTCGGATATTAAATAATAAATCTTTTGCTTGAATTATCTTTAACGAACAATAAAATAAATTGTTAAAGCACACAAGACTTTATTTCCTGTTATGAATTGTGATAATTAAGAGTTTTATGAGGAAACTGCTCGCTCCAATCCTTTATTTTGATGTATTTTCTCGCCTCATGAGAGAGGAGAGTTCCGAGTCTGGAATTAGGTCACGATTTCGACAAGGATTCGATTCGTTTTCGAATCGTATTCGTTTCGATAGCTTCCAGAATACCACGAATCGTTCACGATTTTTTCAACGAATCGAAGACGAAAAAATTTCGACGTCGAAAACGTTCGAGAATACCGCCCCTGCGCGCTTTCTACTACGCTGTGTGGATTCGGAAAAATAAGATAAAAATGGAGCATCAGAATAAACTTCCTGTGGCAGAAAATTACAAATTTAGAGCGTAATAACATTCAGGGCTTTTCAGATTGAGTGTTATGTTAGTAACGTCTAGATCAATAACTTGGAATCCAATGAAATTACATTTCACGGCGATAGTGGCGCCCTCTGTAAACAAGAACCATGTGCACGGATCAGGACTTACCGAAAGGAAAATTATAAATTGTTTTATTTGAAAAATAAAAATAATTGAAATTGAAATTGTCAAAACTAAACGAGGATTTCTAAAATGCATTAATTTAAAATCTATCTGTGCAATTTACGGTTCATTTAGAATTATATAGTCTTGAAAGTTAAATTTAAGGGATAATAACCCTTCGTTTCAGCCAAATGACTTTTCCTGGAGTAAACAACAATTTTCCCATACTTACCAATGGTTCATGAATCCAATTTTACATTTAAAGTTAGTCCCTGTTTTTTTTTTTTTTTTTTTTTTTTTTTTTTTTTTTTTTTTTTTTTTTTTAAGTTTGTTTTTTTGTTAAAATCTCGAGCTCAAGAAATTTTAACAGAGTATAGCCATCAATGGAGGTCACGTGGTCTAAAGACAAGCTCAGATATCAGAATAACAGCTATAACTGCCGTTTTTGTGGTAAAACAGAATATATTTTATTTCTATGTGTTATTCACAATATTTTTATTGAGAAATATAGATCTCATACGAAGAGTTATTATCCCTTTGAATCTTCCAATCGCAAGTTTTGTCATAAATAATGTTTCTCATTGTATGGAAATTACAATGTATTATATGGACCTTTATGAATGGGGGCGTGTCATTTTTTAATCTGTTCAAAAGTTGGCTATGTTGTCAGCAAATTCAAATCATAATTAGGTAGTAAAATTTTCAGACATCATTTTTAATCTTATGCCAAACATTTATATCAAAATTGTGTTGAATATTAAGCCAACAAGTTTAAGGATTGAATATAAGAAGTGCGTATGCGTTGACCGTTTGTTAAAGGTTTTATACAGGCCTTCTGCCGTCCCCTTTCCTGGCTAAATTTCAGAAATCATCTATTTTAAGCGCCCAAGTAAAGTTACACATGTTATACCCCGGACCTTGCCCGGTGTCTACGTATCTACGTATTCTCACAGCAAACGGACTGAAGAACTCTGTCTGATCAAGTTAAATAACTCCATTTTCTGCCACCTTTCGTATAGATCAGTGCGCATGAGTTTGCTGGGTTACGTCCCTCATTGTGTTAGTTGTGACAGAGAAGCAATCAGTCTCTCGCTGCGATGAGCTGCCGTCTTCCCATGTTGTGTTGTTCTGGATTTCGTCACATGAAGGAAAGGCCCCCATTTTTAATCCAAAATGGAACCTAACAGACTTTTAAGAACGCCTGACACCTGCCTCATTATTGATCTGTTTTTTGTTTTTTTAATTACTTTCCTTTTCTTTCATTTTTCTTTATTTCATGTTTATTTTTCCTTTATTCAGAAAAAGGCCAATCGTCTAAATGACAAAGCGAACCAGCGTTTTGCATGGCTACCCCTATTCAACATACTACAAGTAGGTCATGAAATTGTAGCTGAGGCCTGCTGCTACAGAAGATCCCGCCTTGCAACGCCATTTAGAATTAAGAACCCGCGATACGAGCATCATTTTTCGGAAAAATGTAACCACACTGTGTGGTATTTCTCTTTGCATAATATATTGTTTAAAACAGTGGTACTGTGTTGGCATTTGGTTGGATTTAGTGGCATTGGTTTGAGCACTCGTTTCAAGGTACACTCCATGAAATTTACCTTCCAAAATGGGTTTCCCCGGGAAAATAGGCAAATTTCTCGAACTCATATATCGTTAATTAGTAGTTTATTTTATACTGTTTTTTATGTATTTTATGTATTAGGAATATGCCACACTTAAATAATACACTTAAATAAATAATAATTTATCCCTCTCTGCACTTGGATTCGACCTTTGATAAAATTTTAAAGGTTGGTTTTAGCTTAAATGACTGGCCAGTCATCACAACTGCGACCATTTTCCTATAAGCTCCAATAGAAATATCAACATCATGTACGCACCAGAAAAAATTCTTGGGTTTGAATCATTTTTAAGGTGTATATTATGTAAGGTTTTACAAGAAGCTGTGGATACCAAAAATAAGCATTTTAGTTTTTTTTTAACCAATGGAGTGTACCTTTGATGTGCACTAGTCCATTTCCTACGTTTTGTAAGTGGTATTTTAACCCATATAATGTTTATTTTAAGTTAAAACTACGCATGGCCAGAAATGCGCAGCATTCACGCGATACGCGAAGGCGCTACAGTAGGGCTTCACGTGACTCAACTTGCCAATCACAGCACAACAATGGCATCGCACACAGACTCTGTGATAAGTGCTCAGCCCATTGTCAAGTAGTGTTAGTTCATGGTAACAAGCGTCTGACATGTGCAGAGGAGTTTATTGTAATATATATTGTTCTTATTGTTACATTATTAAATCTAACTCTGTATCCAAGTAGTAACTATACTGTACCAAGTCAGGTACTACAGTACTGATGATGTGCAGAGGTCATATATTCCAGAATAAGCCATTACCGCTAATTTATAACTTTAATTTTGTTTCATATGTTGTTCATGAAAGAGTTAATGAAAGATTATTTTAATTTGTAAAATCGTGATCTTATTCTTTTTATATTCAAATAATTGAATAATGTGGGTAAAATTGGTCTTCCACTTCTTATTTGCATTTTTCCTTTACTACAAGATTATTTTGGAACAGTTGCAGCATTAAAATTTAAAATAAATAACAATCTGAAAGAAGAATTTTGCATTATTATTAAATGATGATAGGAATTTTGGATTAAGAGATTAGTTAATACTGAGTAGTGATATTGTCAGTCAATTTATGTAGAATCTGATAATATAATTGAAAATACTGATTGAATTCTTTGCCTTGCACTGGGCAGTTTTACATTTGTGCCAAGTGCTCTTTTTGGACTCCATTGTACAGTGGTAAAAAATCTTCAATTGTCATGAAAGTTTTTAATCAGACTGTGTATGGTGCTGCTATCTGCTGGTGCTATCGGCAACGAATTAGTTTGCCTTTGTTTCTGAGTGAATCTACCGTCTAAAATCACTATTTCTGAAAATATGTGCGTTTTGCTGAGGGTAGGCTAGGCAATACACGGCAAACTTCTTAGTACGTGTGTACAACATAATTTGTTTAAAAACCCTAGCGATATTTGGTCAGGAGTTGCTTGAAGCATAGCACATCGTTTCTGTCTATCGGCATCAGGCCGTTAGTTTGTCAATTATCACGAATTACCCACGAATCGCGAACCCATTCATTTTCCTATGGCAATCTAGCAACATTAAGGTAGATCGGTCGTTACATGTTCCAACGTTCGAATTTTTTTAAAAATTTTTTTGTTTGAAGAGACACCCAAGTACATTAAAAATTTGCAAAAAAAATTGGGGGTCACCGATCAAATAAGAGAACTATGCCCAAATATGTTACACCCTGCATATCGCACTAGTCCCCATTCAAATCAATGGGAAAATGGGTGTTTTTTCACTAAATCATTATTTTCTATGATTTTCTAACGTTCGAATTTTTTTTAAAAAAATTTTGTGTAAAGGGGTATCCAAGTACATTTAAATTTTACAAAAAAAANACACTCTGGACTGGCTACGATAAGGACATTTCCGCAAGCGTTTATATACATGAACATGTATATAAAAAGTACAACAGTTCAGCTTTTTATGCGTTATTTGTTCAATGATTCTGGATCTTGTTCATTGAATTATCTACCGTGTAGATGCCGGCGGACTACCCGTTTGTGACTGGCTCGGAACACTGGAGAAGAAAAGTCCGCACCGTATTCAAGTGCTTAGATTCGAACTCAGATGGCTGCATCACTAGAGAAGACTGGGTGATCGGGGTCCGCCGTGTTGTCCAGTATTTGGATATTGATGGTAAATTTCTTAAAAAACGCGCTTGAATAAATCACACCGTTTTCAAGGTTTATTAATTATCCCACTTCCTCGCATTAATTTTACAGTTTTTATTATATTCCACTCATTTTATACTTACGTATAATTAGGTAAATCCCTAAGGACTAAGTACTCACTTTCCCCATTTTGAAACAAAATGGTGAATTCTGCCCACACCCCCCCCCCCACCCCCTTTCAAAAAAAAAAATGTTTTGGGTGCTACAATTTATTCATTATTTAACCATCTGTGTACTGTCTCCTCAGCGAAATTTTGACAGCAAACCCCTTAGGACCTAACCCCTCTACCTAACTTCTCTCTACTCTACTCTCTTTCAATGACCATAGATTTACATGTTTGATACGAAAAAACAAGCAAATAAATGAAATAAATAAATAAATAATACAAAACGCAATCTTTGTAAGCAAGAGACTTAGACCCCATTTCCAGAGATTAGATCGATCTACTTTAGATCGACCTAACTCCCTGGGGGTTCACGCTAAATAGCTGTCAGCCGAGCGGACACGAAAGTTAATTACCCCTTACAGCTTGCAGTAGGCGGGACGGACATTTAAGCCGGATTATCTGACTGTAATCTAGTGAGACTCCCCGCGGGTATAGATCGATCTAAAAGCTCTGGTAATACAGCCATAAACCGTACATACTAACTAAAAGAGAGCATTCACATCGAGATGAGCCGAGGTCTAATAAGGCCGCGACCTTAATATGGCTGACCTCACCACGCGTTGTCCTTCGACCAGTTAAATTGAGCCGAGATTTAATTAGTGAGCCCCTGAAGGGACAACGCGCAGGGAGGCGTGTGAGAGGCGGAGAGACCATTTTAATTAAAATGGCTTAGGCGGTCTTCCTTTCATGTAAGTCCGCCATATTTAGGTCGAGGCCTTACTAGACCTTAGCTCTTTTCGATGGGAATGCTCCCTTAATATCTGCCCTCGCCTCTTTCAGATGAGAAAGCCGAACGCATTCTAAACGAACGTCTCGCAGTCTGGAAATCCCTCGTCAAAGACTCAGAAGACGACACAACGGCCAAGATTTCAGTAGACGAATATGTGCAGCAAAGTTTATCGTTCGTCAACTGGGTCAACTACCGACAAGAATTGCACGTAAAACTCATCGCGACTACTTTCAATGGGATGGACCTCGACGGCGATGGGTTTATTTCCAAGGAAGAACACGCCGCTTTTTTCTACGGTATCCACGTCCCCGTTGAGCACTCGAAGGACATCTTTGATGTGATGGACGCAGAGAAGGACGGTTTTATATCCCTTGCAGAGTATGCAGAGGCCCATATGGAGTTTTGGTTAACTGAAGATCCCGATAATAAATATAATGAATTCTTTGGACCATTGGTCGACTAGTACTTGTACTTTCTCTTTTTAAAAGGGATGCATTGAAGTAATAAGCGAGTTACGTTGATTTGGGAATTGGTGATGGAAGTTTTCAAAAGCAGTGGGTAAAATAAGTAGGGAAACTCAGCTAGCATCATCTCGATGACCAGAATGCCTTCAGAATGCAAAACTAACACATTTCAGCATGAAAAACTGAGGACATTTCCTGGAAAAATGACATCAAGGTAGATGTATAGCGCTCACTGAACGAACGGATTTTCTGATTAATCCAACGATGTGATATAACATAGCATGATAAAACCCTGGACTTACAAACTGTACGACATAATAACGCAACGATCCGCCGTTGCGAATCGGTACCACCGTCCCAGAGTCCGTCATACGATCCACCATCGCTCATACGTTATTATCAGAAGTAAAACGATAGTACATGTTTGTTTCCTGGGACCTTCAGCATCAGAAGCCAAAATGGTGGAGATACTTAAAGTCTGGGTCACACTGCGCTTGCAACCTTTTACTCTTTTTTCAAACACAATATCTGGCGGTCGCATGTGATCACTTTGCGAGCTAATTAAGAAGCTATGGCCAATTTTGATCGGCAAGCAGACGCAAACCGATTGCAACAAGATCTAAAATTACAATGTTTTGGGAACTTTTGAACAGACTACACCCTCGCCTAACTAAAGCAGTGATGTAATAAAAATATAAATTTGAATATGTTTTAATCTTTATAAATCTTATAACACTCTTTTATATTATCTTGTTCATGTATAAATACTTGATCTCTTTGAGGTCGCAAGGCCTGTGCGGTTACGATCACAATGAACAAAAAAACCTCTTTGCGACTTGCAGCTGTCACCGGTTTCAAAAAGGTCGGCGACTGGTTGTAACAACTCGAAAAGTGGTTTCCAAATGAACGTTGTGTTAATATCAGGTTGCGCCAGTTTTCTGTGCAGCACCGATAACCTCCTGGCCTCCGAAAAACCTACTTGTGGTATCCTACCGGTTGCTAACAGGTCACCGACTGCTTTCCAACTGATTTGCAACCGAATGTGCGGTTTTCCCTTTGTCTTTTTAACCCCAGGCGTTTTCCGCTTACTTTTCACAGTCTCATCCTTGTAGTAAGGATACCAAGCACTGGAAGGATGTTAAATTGTATGTATTGAAACTATTTTTATTTCAGATTATTGGACTAATTTAAAGTTCTGTTACATTGTTTGTAAATAATTTTCTCTAAAGCGGTATTTGTTTATGATTTTCTTATATTCGAATTTTTAATTTTTATTTTTGGTTTTTGAGGAGAGACATCCAAGTATATTCAAAACTTTCATTATGTTTAACAGCTGATAGCTATTTTCAGATTTGTCATACTGAAGCAAAGGTGTAAGCCATAAACTTTACTACAGATTTACTGAAGAGAGTAATAAAGGAAATACATCATTCATGTGAAAATAGTTTATTGCCATTGTTATTTATCTATGTAATGAATATAACATGAATGTTACTTTTTGGCTCACCCCCCCCCCCCAAAAAAAAAAAAAAAAATGAGCAGCATTGCAGAGGTTTATCCAATTTCTTGATCAGAGTAATCTCATTAATGTTGTATGTACCAGCACCACTCAAAAAGTCAAAAATCCAACAATAACAACATATTGCACTTTAACAGTTCAACAAATAAACTTTACCAGTGCCTAATGGAAAAAAGACACAACTGATGATATAATTTTAATAGATTTTGTTACTCTTGGTTTTCCATTTTTCATTTTTTCACCTAAAAGATCAGCAACTCCCTGATGACTGTTTCTGTCAAATGCTAGCTTTATGTGTTTTAACTGTAGGCCACTGCTAGCAATCTTCTCTAGCATGGATTTACTGACGAGATTTTTAATGGGACCAAGAGTTTCTAGATTTTTCTTCTTCGCTGCCAACGCTACCAATGACTCTTTAACAAAATTAACATCAAAACAGTGCTTTGCCATGGTTTCAGGACAAGGTGTAAAGGAATCAACTAATTTTTTCAATATTTCAACATCCTCACAGGCAACATGTGCAGGGTACTTTACTGCAAGACAATCATAAACTAATTCCTCTTGCCTATATGATTTCCTGCCTGGCAAGATCTGTCTAAAAAATGGGAGAGTGCCTGGCAAGATCTGTCTAAAAAATGGGAGAGTGTCAAAAAAGGAACACACATTTTTTTCAAGTGCTCCCAACATGCCACATGCTTTTGCTGCATTACACAACACCCTTGAATCAAACGAGCGAATGTTGTGCCCAACCAAAAGAACTGGGTTACTCTGATCAAGAAACTGGATAAACCTCTGCAATGCTGCTCTTATCTTTAAGGCTTCCACTGGCTGATCATGGTGGTAAATTTGTCCTCCCAGCACCTTAATGCCAGTGATGGCAGAAGCCTCAGCAGTGATGCACTTCTTAGGAATCACATACTCATTGAATTTTCCCATCGATCCCTGGGCTGCTATCTGTGTGATATGAGCATTTGTTCCTAAAACAAAGTAGTATATTATATATATATATATGTATATATATATATATATATATATATATATATATATATATATATATATGCAACAGGAATAACAATGGTAATACAAGCAGGCCCTATATAATCAATGTTCATATTCTAAGCAAATTTAAATCAAAATATATAATAGGATTGGATGCATACCTAAACCAGTTGTCTCTAGATCAAAATATACCAATGGCACATTGTTCAGGCATACAGACTTGGTAGTAGGTTGCTTTAATGGTGGAGGAATCCTTTCTGTATCCGGTGCATCTATATATATACATATATATAGTTTTATAACATACATTGCTTAAACTTTATTAAAATGATTAAGAAATACATCAGATCAAACAGTTGCAGATTACAGTACTCAAATCAAAAGTTGTAACATTTATGCCTTGAATTTTAATAAGTGCAAAGCACACTACACATTCCTTAGTGAAGCTTACCTGTTTCAATATCAATATTGGTGGAATAGGATGTTCCTTCCCTCAGCTCTTGGGCACTCTTTTTAGAATATTTGATAGCTTTCAGCTGGAGCCTCCTGAGTTTAGCCTTTCTGTTTGATCTTTTTATTTTGTTTTTCTTCTTCAATGAGTCTAGTTTTTTTGCTAAAGCTATGGTGTTTGCGCCTGGAGAGACACCAACTCTTCTATTTACCTTAATTTAAAAAAATAAAATTGTTAAAACATTATAAATTAAACTGGCATATGCAAGGGTAATTAAGATAGATATCTCATATGTTTGTACTTTTGATGCTTAGTAATGCATACTTCATGTACTTTTATTTAAAAATATTGATCTGTTTTAATAAATTGCAGTACTAGTCAAACCTCAGGTACATATGACTGGCCTTCGTTCTTTTGTGCCACTGCAGCTCCTACTCTGAAATTCAGGCTTTCTGAACCACTATAATACTTAGATTTAGGTGCTTTGCTTGCTATAATGTTATTCAAATTTTCATTAGCTTGAGTGCTTTTCAAATTACAAAGTTTTTCTGGATTAAAATGTCCAAATATTTGTTGGAGTTTCGCCTTTAGGCTGGGATCATTCAGTGGACGGCCATAAGGAAGTGATCTAAATTTGTGGCTCTCTGGATTCTTTAAATGTCCACACCAAGAGCTGCTGCAATGGCGATGGTCCCCAAAGCAATGGCAGGGAATAGCAACCAGACCTTTCTTTATACTTTCAATGTCACCTTGATTTTGTTGGCACATGTAACTGAAATTCTTTTGAATGTATTTTATAATTTTTGAAGATAATTGTTTGTGATTGGGTTGAAGGCTATATAGCTGGTTAGTTAATATTTTCTTGATATGGTTGGTATCAGATATCTTTTGGATGCCTTCATCAACCTCTCTATGGACACGTGCGATGGTGGTGCTATCTTCGTCTCCAATTATGGAGCAGATAGTATTAGATGAGTTCTTGACCATTTCAACTACCATGTCTGCTTCCATAGCTTTTGCACTTCCTTCCCAGTTCATACGGCAGTCATGCCTTTTCATTTGGTTCTGACTAAGATTGCAAAATCTGCATTTTTTACTTCTAACAGAGTAAGACAGAACTTTTCCAGTTTTTGTGCCTATCATTGCACAGTGACCTAACAAACAAGAGTGAAATAGGTATTGTAAAAACCAAAATAAGAAACCTAGTGCAGTGCATCATTCTATAGATTGTACATGATTCTTTTTAATGAGATTGCAATTTCAATCAGAATTTAAATCATAATTAAATAATTATTTTATAATTTAGTAGATAAGCAATAGTTATGATAACTATTCTATTTTTTAAATAGGGAAAATGGTGAATATTATTTATTTATTTTTAAGTGATTTCTTAAATTAGAACATTCCTAACAGAGTTATTATGGCTAATCAATAGTTAAAGCAAACATGTTCTGCATAATAATAATAAATTATGTATTTGATCATTTAAATATTTTACTAACCTGAAAGACTGCCATAATTACGGCCACTTCCACGTGTTTGCCACCCACCATCCACACTCACTTCTAACTTTGGTTCCGCAGTATTGGCAGCACTGACAATTAAAACAAGGGGTTTAAAAACAAATTGTATGCTTAAAAAAAACACTCATTTTAATGAGTGTTAAAACTCCTTAAGTACTTTTCACAAGTCAACTTTAGAATGATATCAGAATTACAACATGTTTAAACACTAGCATAGAATATTTATATGTTACTTTAGCAAGTGCATTTCTTCTTGTGTTGCTGAATCAGTGGATGACTGTGCCACCTCTTCTATGGCTATCCCAATTTCCCTTTCACTCCTTTTTACAATGTTGTGACCCAAAGGGGGGAAGTTAAGGGTACTAAAAATACTCTGGAGCTGAGAATGCCCAACTCCTGCATGAATCATCCCTGCAATACAAAATATGTCATAATATGTGAAAGTACTGCAAGGTGTCAAATTTCACCATTGATAAAATTAACATCATGTTTTTGACAGATAACATTATAATATACCATTATGTAATTTTATTATCTACTGAATTTATCACATAAAGTAAAGACAAGATATGACATTACCTGTAGCTAATTTGGTATTCACGTCCCACACTTTTCTTCCTGAGCGAGTTGAATTATGCCTCTTTCCTAATGGTATATTTTGGATGTGCTGACAAATTGGATTGTCGCACCTCACTCTTAACCATCCTCCTAATCCTGCCTTTTTTTCACCCACACAAGACGACAAACGTAGAGGCAAACTGCAACCTTCACATGAGTCCAATGCATCAGCTAACATACCCAGCTCCACCACCCGCCTCCCCTCTCTCCAGTCCAGAGAAACAACCTCCTCCCCATCAGATGTTTCATCATCACCCACAACCTCCTCACTGACACAAAAATTAATATCAGCTACAGACTCTTGAGGAATGTGATATGTATGGCATCCCTCTGATAATGCCTTGTGCGTGCCTGTAAATTCTTGCTTAGAACTAGTATTTTGGAGGATTCTAGAACACTTTTTTCTACGAGTTTGCTCAGATTTTGTTACAAACTTTCCCTTCCCTCTCACATCATGTGTTATTCAGTAGTCATATGAGTTCAATCTTTGTGTTTTTCTCTCTTTCCTGCCCTGCAGGCACCTGTGTGATCTTTGGCAAAGCACAATTAGTTGGATGTATCCTCAATATATTTGTCTAACCAGTCACAGAAGAGTGTGCTGCACCTACAAATTTAAATATTAAAAACACTTGAAATATAATGCTAGAATTGGTATGGTGCATAACATGACTGTACCTCTTCCCCCATCACTGTTTTCATATACAAACTAGTACTAGTAGGTGTGTATTATATGATAATCTCCCCACCTTTTCTACATGTAAGTTAGGCAACAGCCAATATCTTAACTATAAAAGTGTGTCTTGTGTGCAGTAATTTATAGTGATTTATTTAAATTAGTTCTTACGTGTACACTTGACCATGAATTCAGTTTTTAGACAACTGTAATGTACCACTAAATTCCACATCATTTAATCATTCCAACAACTCTATCACAGAATTTACTGGCCAGGATTCATACAGACACATAAGAACAATTGGCTTCCAAGGACTTTTAAGGCTCTAATTCAAATCATTTTCAATGATTTTAACTAATGAGGGCAAGTTATACATTAATACAGTTATTTTAAAGTGTACATACCAAAGGAAAAAGGACTCATTTCATTTAAACTTTGTCTTTGTAACACATTGATGATGAAAAGTTGAAAATAAAAGTACAAGTAATGATGTATTAAAAGGTATTACCCCCATCTGTGAATTATTGTCTGTATTCATGTCAATAAACTACAAAGTTTTAAATAATATTTTTACAAAGACAAAATGCTGAAATGCAAACCTTTTTCAAGCCTAATAGCATTTTCAAGTACTTTTCAAAGTTACATTTAAACTAGAGCCATTTAAACTAGTTACATTTAAACTAGTCCAAAGTGCTGGACTAAATTTGAACACTTTTCAAGGCTGTATGGATCCTGGTGCATCAGTAAATAATGGGAAAATACACAATTAAAAAGTCACTTACCATTTCATGCTCACTTCTTATCCTGTCTCTTTATCTCTTCATTTTCTAATTTCCAAAAAGATGTCTTCTTTTTATATCCAGAAATCAATGCTTTCAGTCTTAATTCTTGCCTCTTCCTTAGAACATTTCTGACCTTCTGGCTTAGATTTTTGAATTGGCTCAACGGACCGCGCGCTTAAGACTGTGCTATGCATAGTTATTTGACCTGTTTGAGCAGGCAGTAGGCAAACTGTTTATATCAAACTGACAGTTAAGATAAACACCTGGCTTGTAATGAATCTGGTCCAGTGAAAGTTACTGGTTTACTTTAATCAAAAGTCAATTGATGCTAACTATAAAGTTTAAAATTTATATATTGTGCAATTGTACATTATAATAAGATTTCAATCATTTTTCTGATTTCAATAACAATAATAATAATAGCAATAATAATAAATATGTTTCACAGCAATATTTAAAAATATAAATCTGTTCACTCAGTTATTTTTTTACAGGTGAAGTCTATGTACTATATATGAGAGTATATAGCTTGGAAGACAAATAAAAGCAGAAAACTGTTTTTTAACCCAAGGAATTTGACAAACTCTTCATTAAAAAAAATTATATTTTTTTTTAATCCTAAAAACTGTATGTTACTGATCAATAGATATTTATAAGCACATGTGATTCTCAGTTGTGAACAGAAACATTTTTATTATAACAGAAACATTATTCATTTCTATTGAGTTGTTATTTGGATACGTTGGCCCAACGTTAGGCCAACGTATGCAATAAATATGCATACGTTGGCCCAACGTTGGCCCAACGTGAGCATATTGCAGTTATGTTGTGCATATTATGATGTGGTTGGGCCAACGTTGGGCCAACGTATTACTACCAACGCCAACTATGTGCCAACAAACCAACGATTCCCCTACGTTGGCCCAACGTATGCTTGCTATCTGGGTACGTAGTACGGGATTCCAAATAATGAATGCCAAGTAACTGCTCAAGAGCTTTATATATAAACACATCGCTATTCCCTGGGCGTCCAAAAAACACACTGATATTCTAAAGTGATGCAGAATGAAGTTAACAACTCCAATGTACCACAATGTATGAAGAATACTGTGAGGGAAATTATAATCAGCTGATTGGAGTTAGATTGACCTTAATATAGGTCAGCCAAGACGAGAACAAGTCATTCAATTCCCAAAGCGCAACAACCACACTGCGCAATATTCACCTTTAGCACGGTTGTCGTCTAAAACTCTGTACTTTGTAATAAGATGTTAATTGTATCTTTAAATGATCTGACTATGCAGAAAAATAATACTGTCACACACAAAAAATAATAAAACAGTAAAGGACATTTTTTTACTTACTTTGCGCCTTTTTCTTCTGAGCGTTTAAAATTCCCACGGCGAAGAACTGCTGCAAGCCGCAAAGGATTGTGGTCTAGACGAATGACTTGGCAATGTTTACAAACATACGCATGAACGTTCTACAGTTGTCGTATGGAATCATAGTCGACGAATGTTGTCGAAAATCTGTATCGATCGTACCGAGTTACAGAAAAGTTGATAATGTGTGTTTATCTTATAGATATTGTTTTATTTCCTCAAATTGATAAAACAGACTGAAATGTCGTTAGAAACGATTGACGATGCGCTGAAATTGCGCAAATCGTCAAATTACGTAACGACCGATCTACCTTAAATGTGCACGCATGCGCAGTGGGCTAAGCGTGACGTGATGCAGTGCATTTCTGGGGATGAAATCGCTCAATTTTGTTACGCTTTAATAAACTTTAAATAAATCATACTTTTTCGCAACAAGGATACAAACATGTACTGTGCTATCAATAAAATGTTTGTTAAAAAGCGTTACATCATCAAAGGGATATAATGCTGGAATAGGTAATTCTTGTATAATAATTCATTTTATAGGTGGATACAACGAACATTTAGCTAGAATATACATGACTCATCCATTTAACACAAATTGTACAAGCTACAAAACTTTGCTCTTGGATATAATCGTTTTTTTTTTCTTTTATATTTATCCGGGTCTGAAGAGTGTGATTAACCGTACGTAGCCGCCGCGACTGATCTCAAGAATGCGAAGTACCAAGTTAATACGGCCACGACAATGGCCATACTGATCACGATGCCTGCTACGTTCAGCCCGAGAGCCACTTTGCCATGCGTACGTGTCGACTTGGAGTCCCCAGATCCATAATTACTTTGGGAAAGAACTGAAAAGAAGCAATCAAATTTGTAGACTAGTGATTTATTTCGCAATATAATCACATAAAGCTAAAGTTAACATAAAACACAACACATACAATGTTCTTTATCTGCATATTAAAGATATAAACGTTGCATTAAAATCACTTCATTAGGGTAAGGGGAAAACGTCATCTTTCCTCGAAAAACAAGAATAGCTTGATATAAGGAAAAAACGCATGCGTGTGAGTTAAATATTTGATATTTACAAAGAAACGTGTGATCGCGGGTCTAGAACATTAAGACGAAACATAAATTATTTTCATAAAAATTTAAACAATAACCTCGAAATTATTTATATTAGACAAATGTAAAGCAAATCTTTTCGTATTCAGATATTAGCTCTGCAGGTTATAATTATTGCATGACTTACTCGAAAACACAAGAGCTATCAATCCAAGCAGCATATTGCAACACAGCAGGACAAATATGGAAAGGATAAGATAATCTGGCGGCTTTGGATCAGCCACCTGCGTTATGATCATATTTGTTGACACGGGTTGGTTGATAACAGCGTGCGGTGGCTGTTGTTGACCATAGTAAGCACCAGGGGGCTGTTGACCTGGAGGCGGTTGTTGACCATAGTAACCAGGGGGCTGTTGACCTGGAGGCGGTTGTTGACCATAGTAACCAGGGGGCTGTTGACCATACTGGGGCCCATAGTGGCCTTGCTTCTCGGACATGATTCTACGAAAATGGAGATATTATGTTTTTCATTTTTTCTTCTAATGTGTTACTTTCTTCTTCAAAATAAAATGATACTCGTGCTTGGTTAGCAACGTGCGTCTAACTTTTGCCATTTTCAGGCAGTTGTACTTAGCAAGTTCCGATAAAAACTCAAGTTGAAAGTATGGAACTCGTAATGGTGAAATATGGTAATTTTTCTCCTCAGTCGGGAAAGAAATTCAGTAAAAATATACGGAAAATTCATTTTACAGATTGAAAAAGTATGAGAAATTGAGTGATTTTTTCATAAGGGAACGGATGTCAGAACATTCAAATTGTTTTTTATCTCTGTAGATCGCGCTCTCAGTGTATCCTATTATTTTATGCATATCAATACCGAACTATCCGTTTTTCAAATATTAAAAGTCGACCTACATTTAAAGTGAGCGTCGATGAAGCGTGGATTCTCAGTTTCTAATATAAACCACTTGTACTAGTAGTAGTCTCATACGACTCAAATAAAGTCGACATGCCAAGAGATAAACCGAATTTATCACTTGATCAGTCGTAAAAGTGGTTTAAATGCACCACCTTCAAATTTTTGGTCGTGAATTTGACCTACTTTTCATTTGCCTGCCCCGTTTATTTACAGCAAGGAAAGCAAGCAGAAAAAATGTTCAATATAATTTTTAGGTAACATGAAAAGATGTCTTTCGGTATATCTCTAAATTATACTATTTGAAATAATAAGGTGGCACAAAATATACTTTCGCTTTTATTTAATCACCATTTATTATCCAATGACTTTAAGTCAGAGCAAGTCAGAACAAGTTGATCCGCGGACTTACAGAACCGTGGATTAACAGAACCGCGGACTTAATATGGCCGACCCACTTAAAAGCAATGCCGACTAATCCCCTAATGTTCTCCCGGCCTCCAAACGCGCCGTCGATACAGGGACATAGCAATTGAATCTCGGAGCCGAGATTTAATCCGTTTAATGGCGCGTGTGGAGGAGGGGGGAAACCATCAGGGGATCAGGCGGCTTGCTTTTAAGTGGGGTCGGCCATATTTAGTCAGGGGATCAGTCAGTTCGCGGATCATCTTTTCTGAATGCAAACTTAGTAAGTGCTCCTCTTCCTTGATTTAGATAGAAACCAATTTAATAAATCGGTGATAAATTCTCAAAACTTCACCCATCCTTTCCGTACCCCCTATCCTATCCTTGTTGAAATTAACCCCTAAGGATAATGAATATGATTAATTTTCTTAAGGCTAATTCAATAAATGAACTGCTGAAATTATTCATGGTATTAGAATTACTGAACACACGCCAGAGATCCGCTGATTCGGTTGGCAGTCGATGTGGAGCAATTAATTTGTAATTCACCAGCAAATAAACATAAAAATATTTCACAATATACCTTTTCAATCTTTTACAGAAGACAAGCCTATTGAAACCCCGGGTAATGTTAAATTCTATAAAAGGAAAATTTTGCAAATGAAGAAATACTGTTCTGTTGACGCTGAAGAGCTAGTTCACGGTTCAATGTACAGGTAGTTTAGGCCTATAAATGTATACCAGCGGTATGCTACAATGTACACGTCCGTTCGAAAAAAATCCAAATTTTATACTTTATACTTTTTACCCTTTATGTGTTAGAGACTAAGTTCGATTTTCAGATCGCGGGTATCTCAGATTTTTATTTTAGTTGCCAAGACATGCACAAATCGGCTAATAATCTTCTTTAGTGTTTTAATTGATCTATTGCGGACACTGGCCAACACTGTTTGAAAACACCTAGTTAGTGAAATGAACAACCCTTTTCACTAAACTGTAAGGCCTTTTTTAAAATGTTCATATATTAAGGACTTAATGTAACAGTCAAAGAAACATTTCATCAACTTGCCCTCACTTTTCAATCAATCGCAGTTTGTATTGCAATGGTACAGTAAAGATGAAGAGACACACCTTCTAGGCTAGATTCCACTTTTATATCGTTCCACTAACAAAAGACTGCATTCAGATCCGCATTTAGGGAAGGCATGCTTTTTATAATAATGCAATCAAGCATCACCAGGCATAAATACAGTTGTGTATGATTTGAATATGGTTAAAATATTCACTTGTATAGGGGCGTAAGCCGACCTATAGCTAACTATAGGCTACTGGAAGAATTAAGCAGACCTGGTTTAATTATGAAAGTACTTCTTTTGTTATAGGCCTACCATCTTTTTTCACCTCAGCCATATTTTCTTTACGCTGTTTTCACTGTACTGACTGTAGGCTTATTTCTGTCTTTGGGCAGGTTTCTCCGATGTTTGTTGGACAAATTCAGATATACATGAGACAGGTTACAATAACTAGACCTGCAGCCTATACAGACTATGTTGCTCGTTCATAAATGGCTGCTTATTATAAAAAAGAGAGAAAAGGTTCCCATCAACGTTTTTCATTACCAAGGTATGCCCCATTCGGTCTATTGGAATACCCCATCCCAAGCCGATGACATTATTTCGCATCTTTTTTTTTTTCAAACGTGTTTGTTTTTCAATCCATGCCAGAAGGATTCTTAATTTTATCCTCACCCAACAGGAAGTCTAGACATCACACAGCTCATTCTGTTAGTTGTGACAGAGAAGCAATCAATCTCTTGCTGCGACATCTCACAGCTCATTGTGTTAGTTGTGACAGAGAAGCAATCAGTCTCTCGCTGCGACACCACAGACACCACACAGCTGTAGGCCCGGTTGCACCAACAGCTCATGAATACGTCAGGCGTAGCAGTTACTCCAGAGTTACTACAGCGATGTGCAAAACGTACGGCAGAGAAAAGCCGTAACCAAACAACAGACGTGCGCCAGAGAACACCTGCACCCCCGCCCCCCATACATAGGCGTACACAGAGACGCGTGACGCAACTCGCCCAACACACACACTCACACACGCACGCACGCACACACACACACACACACACACAAACAGACGCAGTACACACACACACACACACACACACACACACACACAAACAAACAGACGCAGTACACACACACACAGACGCAAGCGTGGGGAACTACACTGACAGCACACCACTGACGCAGGGGCGGGGGGGGGGGAGGCAACTAGTCCATAGAAATAAAAAAAATGAATATAGCCAATACATGTTCTTAGCTAAGATCACTTTTTAAATTAACTCGAGCTTACTGGGTACGTTCTCTTTTCAAGTTGTGAGTAGAGGTATTACATGTAATGTGATCGTTTTAAAGTGATCAAGCTATTTGAGTTAAAAAAAAAAACATAAAAAGACATTCAAATATTTCTGAGCCTCTTCAAACAGGGGTGGCTTTCTACAGGTTACTAGACATTTTAAATAACACACATAGTGAGCGGAATTACTCTCAAACAAATTTTTGATTGCGTACAGGCCCGTAGACAGAAATTTCAAGAACGGGGAATTTTTTTTTTTTTTTTTGAAAAAGTGGACTTTTTACTATGAAACCTTCATGTACCTACATAAAATTTTACCCAGAGGGGACCTTTTCCCAGCAAAAAGGGGGGTTTGTTTGAACCCCCACCCCACCCCACCCCCACCCCACCCCCACGGCTACGGGCCTGGCGTATTTGACTCAAGATTTTGCAAAGATTAATTCATAAAAGTTTCTGTAAAGGTGAATTTTCAACAGCCTTAAAATATAAGCTCGAGAACTTTAAGGATAACAACTGTTCGTATGAGATTCATATTTCACGAGAAATATACATTGGAAATATAGAAAATATCACAAATTCTATTTTACCACCAAAGCAGGGCTACATTGCATTTATTCTGGAAAATGTGCTGGACATAAGACCATGTGAAATTCATGCCTGTAGATGGCTATACACTCTGAAGATTATTACAAAAAATAAAAATACATAAAAAAGTAGAGTACTTTAAACGTCGGGATGTATTCATTCATCATTGGTTAGTATGGGAAATTGTCGTTTACCCCAGAAAAATCCATTTTCAACCAAAACGAACAGATGTTATCCTTTTCAACTTCGATTGATTACGTACCGGTCAACTACCAGTACTTATGTAACCCGGTTGGTTACTTAATTCTGAGCGAGTAGCAAACTTGAAAACACCGAAGACATCAATAGTAGCTCATGAAGATCTTTATTTGCTGACGGGCTACAATCTGGCACTCAGGCAGGGACAGTCACGACGATCTCCCGGGGTCTCTCTCTCACTAACTGAGAAGCCCTCATTTTATAGGGAATCGTTGTAAGTCCTGCGTGCCCAATAACTATTACTAAATGTGTGTAATTTACAGAATTAATAAAAGAACTAAATGTAACATACGTGGTTAATAGGAAGTATGATAAAACTAAATGCAGGGACTATATTACATTTCATAGTAGCCCTGAACACGGATATGTTCTCCGGGTAGGAAGGTTACATAACGCTCGGACCTGGGATTGGCCTCAACTAAAATTTTCCCAGGTGTAGTGACTGTTTTTGGTGGAAGAGATCAAAGAAGCGAAATGACTTAAATGAGGTCTAAAATGAAGTACCTCTACGATTTTAGAGTCGTCATCGGTTTCCTATTTCTGACATCAAAGAGGGGTGTAACTTCAATTAACTAAAGTTATCACTTTACCGGGACTTTTGTTTCTAATTTTGGTTTCTCTTCCGTGATTGAAAATGTGATTTAAAGGCAGAGACAAATTGTATAACACTACCGTGTTATACTTAATAACCATACATGTACACCCTGGCGCCCACCACGCGTCCTTGTGGTGCCAGGTCCGTAGCCAGGGGGGGTTCGGGGGGTTCGAAAGAACCGCCCCTTTTGCTGGGAAAAGGTCCACTCTGAGTAAAATTTGATCCAGGTACATGAAGTTTTTATGGGAAAAGGTCCACTTTTTCAGAAAAAGAACCCCCCTTTTGAAATTGCTGGCTACGTGCCTGGGTGCTCTACATGGACATGCATGTGCACGTTGTAGGCACTGTTTACCTAGATGACGGCGGGGGTAACGGGTTAACCTTACAAGTTGCGAGGGTAGGGGATGAGGTAATTAATTATTTCATCGTGGTGACTTGTGAACGTAGTGTACCAGTACATAGTGTAAACTATTCCCATGTTATAGGTATCATATCAGTGCGTGATCAGCGCATAGGTCTATAGCCTATGTCTGCAGCTGGAGATAATCCCCCTCACTCATGGTGACCACCCCCCCCCCCCCCCCCCCCGAAATAATAAATGAATAAATAAAATTTAACAGTTGTTACCCTACATTTTGCCCGCTTGCTTCTCTCTCTCTCTCATCCAAAATACAATCTTATGTTTGAAAAAAATTGAATGACTGAAAGAAAGTGGGCAGAGCTGGCATTATTAGGCCTATTATTTTTTTTAATTTGGTTTAATTTTTAAAAAGTATCAAAGGAGATGATGAAATACCTAAGGTTTTATGTAGAATTTCCCCCATATGCCTCTGAAATTAGGTTTGTAGTTTTTGGTTAGTTTTTTAACATCCGAAGGCCTCGGACAAACTGTGGTTTACTTAATGCTGTTGACCTATTTAAAGTTTACGCTTTAAAAAAGAAGTGCAAAAACTTAACATGGCAAGCTCTCATTGGTTCACCCTGCTCTAAGTCTAAATTCTTCCGCCTTCCTGATATTTAGAATTTGTCCGATTTTATTGTTTTTCTCAACGTGTTATGTACAATATTGATATCTGATTCATTCAGTACGATATGGCTTTGTTGTGTGGATGATAAAATATAGATAACCAGTTGCGGAAATGCGCTCTTCACTTCCGGTACAGGAGAAATATCCTTCCACGTTGTTGTTCGGTCCACGCAACACATGCAGGTGTAGTGAAAATGAAGATCAAAGTTTTAATATTGTGTTTTCTTTTACTTGACGTCTTTTCTGTACTTGCCGATGATGAGGCAACGAAGACTGATGATGAACCAGGTAAATGTGCAAGTATTTTATTCTGCATATGTGTTCTTTAAAATTCTAAAACACAGTAAACTGGGAGTCAGAATTTGCCGGTTGCCAAGTTTTCTGCCTTTCCTCGCTCTTGGAAACCTCTTTGACCTGTCGTTACTGGACAGGCGATGGAGTCACAGTATAGTACAATACTGAAAGTGACAGCAGTCAGTTGAACAGTGCTGCGCGTCCCCTGTTACCGGTGATCTAGCGTGCTAGCTTTTATACGACACTGCTCACTGCTCTGCGGAGACGTAAGCAAATTGACCACCAAATTATAGATTTATTTATGAATTTTTGACAGCACGTTTTCTCTGATAAATACTAAGGATAATCAATTCCGTTTGCAGTAAACTGGACATTTCCTTATGTAGGATTATTTTTTGCATTTCATAAAATCCGTCAACTCCGGTACCCGTTACATTACTAAGTTAAAGTTACAGGTATATTGATTATATTGACTCCATATCAGCACACCTGTGAAAAGCCATGTGACCAACGAGCAACTTTATTGGAAGTGGTCCAGTGGTTTACTTAAGATCATTTCTTCTATGTGGCATGTGGCGGCGGCGGCGGCGGGGGGGGGGGGGGGGGGGGGGGGATTTCACAACCCAACTGGGCAAGTGAAAGGTTGAATCCACATTTGAGAAGGAATACTGATTCCAGTGACATCAAACCACACACTCGTACGAATGGAGACCACATTTCTTCAAAGATGTAATTGTTCTTTTGTTTGCATTTTGATGCAGATGGTTATTATTGTTTCTTTCAGAAGAGGGTGAAGACATAGCTGATGATGTAGAGGAGGAGCCTGCTGTGTTCAGTTTGAACCAGAAGAACTTTGATGATGCCATAGCATCTAATGACGTGGTCTTAGTGGAGTTTTTCGCTCCATGGTCAGTACAGTCTCAGATATTATGACTTTAATTTGTTTAGTTCATTTATTTTATTCATTTGATAAATGATTCACCTCTGGCATCATGTTCATATTTGCATGCAATTCAGATTATCTGAAAACATATTAAATGCTGTTAATTTTTAACTGTCCAGTTTGTGTTTGGTGCGTTCCTAATCCTTTTATTCTCTTGTCTTGAAAAAAGAATGTCATGGCAAAGACCATAGTGACAAACGAGCATACAGTAACACCTGTAGCTTCATCTTGTGATGGTGGTTATGCTGTAGATGGCAAACTATTAGAATGGGCAATAATTTTGAATTTAAATGTTATATTGAACAAAGTCAGATTTTTATGTCTTTACCACTGTATATGATCCTGTATTATAAAAACCTGTATCAAGACTTATGATGGAATAAAAACCCATATTTCTGTGACTTTCCCAAGACTTATGTTCCTGTAGAATAAACATCATATTTACAATAATATTCATGTTTATAATGTATAATATTTATATTTATTCTGTGTCTTTCTCATAGGTGTGGTCATTGTAAGAGTCTGGCCCCAGAGTACGAGAAAGCTGCCAAGCGTCTTAAGAACAACGACCCTCCAGTGGTACTGGCAGCAGTGGATGCTACAGTGGAATCAGACCTGGCTCAGAAGTAAGCAACACACAGCTAGTGATTGTTTGATTGTCACAATTAACACAGTGCTCTGTCACAGCTAACACAATATTGTTGTCACAGCTAACACAATGCTCTGTTGTTACAGCTAACACAATATTGTTGTCACAGCTAACACAATGCTCTCTTCTTGTTGTCTCAGGTATGATGTCAGTGGCTATCCTACATTGAAATGGTTCAAGAAAGGTCAGCAGTTTGACTATGATGGACCCAGACATGAGGATGGTAAGGAGAACAGTTTTCAGATTACTTTGACATCAAAATATCTACAATTGGTGAAATTTTAAAGTTTTTTTACCTACACTTCAGTATATTCTTATTTTGTGACTTATGCCTGTATACAGTACATGTGAGGCAGTGTACTTCAAAATGATTGATTTGAACAGAAACTTATTAAATCCAGTAGTAAATCCTGATTTAATTTTGTCTATTATTTAATGCATCCAAGCACACAAAATGAATTCAACCGTACAAAAATCAAAAATTGGGAACATGATTAAAATTGATAGTATGTTTCATACGCTCTTCTCCACTCCATAAGAGAAATAAAAGTAAAATCATTGACAACTATTTTGTCCAGGCATTGTCCAGTACATGCAAGAGAGAGCTGACCCCAAGTGGAAACCCCCTCCAGAAGCTGTGGTCACTCTGACCAAGGACAACTTCCATGATGTGGTGGACAAGGAGGAGCTTATCTTGGTGGAGTTTTATGCCCCCTGGTGAGTGTTACATGCAGTAGATGATAATGTCATGTCAGTTTCATGGGTTATTTATATTTATATGGGGACAACAGTCATTTTTAACCACTGGATTTTTGCTGCTGAAATTTGATAAATGTGTCCCCTGATTTTCAACAGAAAAAAAATTATAAAAAACTCTCTCTCTCTCTCTCTCTCACTCTCTCTCTCTCTCTCTCTGACACAACATAACATATGCAAACCATAACAAAAATAAGAAGACAAGAAAGCAGGAAACACCTGGAGAGGGTCTTGGGGTGGGCGGGGGTTTTATACAACCTCTATTTATGTGGTCTTACATTGTAGACTAAACTAAGTCTACTTAGACTTGAGATAACTCAGTAATTTTTGTTAATATGTTAGCTGTATTTTATCCCTTCCCAATTGAACCTCCAGGTGTGGACATTGTAAACGACTGGCTCCGGAGTACGAGAGGGCAGCACAGGACCTGCAGAAGAATGACCCTCCTATCATTCTGGCCAAAGTGGACGCCACAGTGGAGACAGAGCTAGCCAAAGAGTACGGCGTAGAGGGCTATCCCACACTGAAGATGTTCCGCAAGGGGANTTACAAGCACATCGTCCAAATAATTACCTGTGAAAAAAATCGTCAGCATACAGCGGCGCTTTGACATTACTGATCTCGAATTCTAACGCGAAATAACGCATATGAAATTTATCTCCAAGCTGAGGAGAGCGACGCAGACGAAACCTTGAGACCGGAGGCCCCCCGTAGCTAGCTCCGCCCACCGTAACAGACATCGGACAATAGAAAGGCTTGCGTGTAATCTCCTTCTGTTATAACTCCTTGGTTCACCCTGCTCTAAGTCTAAATTCTTCCGCCTTCCTATTCTTTAGACTTTGTCCAATTTTATTGTTTTTCTCAACATGTTATGTACAATATTGATATCTGATTTATTCAGTACGATATGGCTTTGTTGCGTGGATGATTAATATAGATAACCAGTTGCGGAAATGCACTCTTCACTTCCGGTACAGGAGAAGTATCCTTCCACGGTGTTGTTCGGTCCATGCAACACATGCAGGTGTAGTGAAAATGAAGATCAAAGTTTTAATCTTGTGTTTTCTTTTACTTGACGTCCTTTCTGTACTTGCCGATGATGCGGCAACGAAGACTGATGATGAACCAGGTAAATGTGCAAGTAATTTATTCTACATATGTGTTCTTTAAAATTCTAAAACACAGTAAACTGGGAGTCAGAATTTGCCGGTTGCCAAGTTTTCTGCCTTTCCTCGCTCTAGGAAACCTCTTTGACCTGTCGTTACTCGACAGGCGATGGAGTCACAGTATAGTACAATACTGAAAGTGACAGCAGTCAGTTGAACAGTGCTGCGCGTCCCCTGTTCCCGGTGATCTAGCGTGCTAGCCTTTATACGACGCTGCTCACTGCTCTGCGGAGACGTCAGCAAATTGACCACCAGTAGCAATCCAGCAAATTATAGATTTATTTATGAATTTTTGACAGCACGTTTTCTCTGAAAAATACTAGAGATAATCAATTCCGTTTGCAGTAAATTGGACATTTCCTTATGTAGGATTATTTTTTGCATTTCATAAAATTCGTCAACTCCGGTACCCGTTACATTGCTAAGTTAAAGTTACAGGTATATTGATTATATTGACTCCATATCAGCACACCTGTGAAAAGTCATGTGACCAACAAGCAACTTTATTGAATGTTTTTGGTTTGACCTGATACCAGTGGTTTACTTAAGATCATTCCTTCTATGTGACATGTGGTGACTGTACAAAGGGGGGGGGGGGGGAGGATAACCCAACTGGGCAAGTGAAAGGTTGAATCCACATTTGACAAGGAATACTGATTCCAGTGACATCAAACCACACACTCATACCAGTGGAGGCCACATTTCTTCAAAGATCATCTTTCTGTTTACATTTTGATGCTGATGGTTATATTTTTATATTTGTTTCTTTCAGAAGAGGGTGAAGACATAGCTGATGATGCAGAGGAAGAGGAGCCCGCTGTCTTCAGTCTGAACGAGAAGAACTTTGATGATGCCATAGCATCTAATGACGTGGTCTTAGTGGAGTTTTTTGCTCCATGGTCAGTACAGTCTCAGATATTATGACTTTAATTTGTTTAGTTCATTTATATTATTCATTTAATAAATGTTACACCTCTGAGGTCATGTTCATATTTGCATGTGATTTAGTTTACCTGAAAAACATTTGAAATGTAAATTTTTAATTGTCCAATTTGAGTTTGGTGCATTCTGAATCCTTTTATTTTCCTAATATGGGAAAAAAAGTCATGGCAAAGATGTTATAGTGACAAATATAAGTGGAGCATACAATAACACCTGTAGCCTCATCTTGTGATGATGGTTATGCTGTAGATGGCAAACTATTAGAATGGGCAATAATTTTGAATATAGATGTAATATTGAACAAAGTCAGATTTTTGTCTTTACCAATGCTTATGATTTTGTATTTAAAAAAGCTATATCAAGACTTATGATGGAATAAAAAGCCATGTTTCTGTTTCTTTCCCAAGACTAATGATCCTGTAGAATAAACGTCATATTTACAATAATATTCATGTTTATAATGTATAATATTAATATTTATTCTGTGTTTTTCTCATAGGTGTGGTCATTGTAAGAGTCTGGCCCCAGAGTACGAGAAGGCCGCCAAGCGTCTTAAGAACAACGACCCTCCAGTGGTACTGGCAGCAGTGGATGCTACAGTAGAGGCAGACCTGGCTCAGAAGTAAGGGACACACAGCTAGTGATTGTTGATTGTCACAGTTAACACAATGCTCTGTCACAGCCAATAATTATTCTGTTGTCACAGCTAACACAATATTCTGTTGTCACAGCTAACACATATTCTTTTCTTGTTGTCTCAGGTATGATGTCAGTGGCTATCCTACACTGAAATGGGTTCAAGAAAGGTCAGCAGTTTGACTATGATGGACCCAGACATGAGGACGGTAAGGAGAACAGTTTTTACTTTGACATCAAAATATCTAAAATTGGTGAAATTTTAAAGTTGTTTCACCTACACCTCATTACATCCTTATTTTGTGACTTATGCCTGTATACAGTACATGTGAGGCAGTGTACTTCAAAATGATTGATTTGAACAGAAACTTATTAAATCCAGTAGTGAATCCTGATTTGATTTTGTCTATTATTTAATGCATCCACGCACACAAAATGAGTTCAACTGTACAAAAATCAAAAATTGGGAACATGATTAAAATTGAAAGTATGTTTCAACCTCTCTTCTCCACTCTGTAAGAGAAATAAAAGTAAAATCGTTGACCACTATTTTGTCCAGGCATTGTCCAGTACATGCAGGAGAGAGCTGACCCCAAGTGGAAACCCCCTCCAGAGGCTGTGGTCACTCTAACCAAGGACAACTTCCATGATGTGGTGGACAAGGAGGAGCTTATCTTGGTGGAGTTTTATGCCCCCTGGTGAGCGTTACATGCAGTTGATGATAATGTCATGTCAGTTTCATGGGTTATTTATATTTATATGGGGACAACAGTCATTTTTAACCACTGGATTTTGCTGCTGAAATTTGATAAATGTGTCCCCTGATTTTCAACAGAAAAAAAATTATAAAAAACTCTCTCTCTCTCTCACTCTCTCTCTCTCTCTCTGACACAACATAACATATGCAAACCATAACAAAAATAAGAAGACAAGAAAGCAGGAAACACCTGGAGAGGGTCTTGGGGTGGGCGGGGGTTTTATACAACATCTATTTATGTGGTCTTACATTGTAGACTAAACTAAGTCTACTTAGACTTGAGATAACTCAGTAATTTTTGTTAATGTGTTAGCTGTATTTTATCCCTTTCCAACTGAACCTCCAGGTGTGGACATTGTAAACGACTGGCTCCGGAGTACGAGCGGGCGGCACAGGACCTGCAGAAGAATGACCCTCCCATCATTCTGGCCAAAGTGGACGCCACGGTGGAGACGGAGCTGGCCAAAGAGTACAGCGTAGAGGGCTATCCCACGCTGAAGATGTTTCGCAAGGGGAAAGCTATGGAGTATAAAGGGGAGAGAAACCAGTTTGGTAAGTGACAAAGCTATGGAGTATAAAGGGGAGAGAAACCAGTTTGGTAAGTGACAAAGCTATGGAGTATAAAGGGGAGAGAAACCAGTTTGGTGAGTGACAAAGCTATGGAGTATAAAGT